AAAGCTACAATGATATATTTGTAAAAACACACATAAGTAGTCCTACACACCCTATTACGGAATTTAGAACAATGCAGTTCTATTTAATTTGTGATTTGGGCCTTTTTTAGTCGTATTTAGGTTTGGCTCATAAAAATATTATTTAATAACTATTAGTTACTATAATTGTGTTCAAAGTTTACATCGTAGTAACTTACACGTAATTACTATAATGGATATTTAAACACAATTATATTAATTAATAGTTACTAAGTAATATTTGTTGTCCACCACAATTTAAAGTGTAAAACTAGTATTAATGATTTTTCCCTACTTTTTACCTATTGTTTTTCTAAAGGGCTTTTTACCTTTTGTTAAGGTTATCGCTATGTTTTTCACTTTTTCCTAACAAGCTTGACTTTTAAAGAGGCAGGACATTATAATAAATTATTAAGATCCCGTTTGATAACTCGTTTATATTTCCAGTTTATCATCCTTTTTATTTATGATTTCGCGCACTAAATTGAACAATAATCAAAATAAGTAAGACTGAAATTACTTTTCTTGCTGAATTGGCCAAAATAACTGCATATGATTATCATCCTTTTTATTTATGATTTCGCGCACTAAATTGAACAATAATCAAAATAAGTAAGATTGAAATTACTTTTCTTGCTGAATTGGTTGAAGTAACTGCATAGGATTATTTTAATTATTTTCATATATATACTTATATACTAGTATTTAACTATATATATATACACAAAGAGAGAGGATTTTTTTTAATTATTTTCACATATATATATACTTATACACTAGTATATAACTGTTGAAATATAAATATATGAAATGGGAGTGAATTATTATCAAGTACAACTTTCATATTTGGATTTATTTCGTTTGGTAATAGAATCCATAATTGTAAAAGTTGTAAAGTGAAATATTATAATGGTAAATTATTGTCCAATCATAAATATATGGTCTTTTAATAAAATATTATGTGATAAGAAATATCATTCAAGTATCATGTAAGGTAGCTTGAAATATTATTCCGTACTCTCAGGCCCGTTCGGGATGATCTAAAAGTATATGAAAAAAATATCTCAAGTTAAAAGACCATTTAATTTGTGGACAACAATTTTGAAATCGATTATTATCTTAATAGTAATGATAATAAAAGTGATAGCTTTTAAGATGCAACTGGACGATTCAAAACTTGAATTTGAAATGCCGTCTTGATTGCTAATAAAGCTTGGTCAAGAATTGTTGTTTAAGGATCATTAAAGTTGTATTATGAAACAGCCGTTACTCATCCGTATGTTTATATTATTGTTCTGATTTTCAAAGGAGTGAGCTGCTCATTATCCATTCTCCCTGAGATGTATCATACGTATGTACACACGTGTGCTTCTTTCAAGTGTTTTGATTTTTTCCTTTGGAAAGCAAAGCTTTATCGAGTTCATAGTCGGTCTATTGTTCTTTCACTTTCGGGTTCATCTCTTTTCAAGGCAATTCGGGCAACGGTCGCAGGTTTCAGTCAAAGTAGCTATACGTCTGAAACGGTGTAGGATTATATTTAAAATTCAGTATATTAAAATTAGAAAAAATTACATGAAAATAAGTAAAATGATGTTCTACATCAACTTTGGTCACTAAAGTAACTTCAACATTAAATATTTTGATTATTATTCATACCAACACAGAAATAAAATACTAGCGATGTTTTCTTTTGGACTGAAATTTGCTGGTCTGGCTGAACTGGTCTGGTGTGGTCTTTGTGTATTTTATAACTACAGGAAGTCAAGTCTGGTCTGATCTGGTCTTGTTGGGTCGAAAACATCCCAGGTGTTTGATAAAAAAGAGCGAAATGTCAAGTTGAAAAACTATGTGGTACTAAACAAGATTTAAAACGTGAGGTGAACTTGAGGTAGGGGAATTTACAAAAATTTGAATAGTCCATGCCAAATTCTATAAGATGTTTAATAAAATGAATGAATTTTATTTTTTCTTTAGAGTATTACGGGTGCGGGTATGTGAATTTCTTATGAGTCAATAACTTCACCTTATTCAGTCAACAAAGTAACTTCACCCTTACTTATTATGATTATTATTCATTTCAACACGCGAAGTCATAAATGATGTATTTGGTAAAAAAAATTGACTGATAAGTGTATTAAGCTAAAAAATACTACCTCCATCCCGAAAAACTTTGCCATTTTCAAAACTTGGGTATTACAAGGGCGTTACCAATTAACTTAAACAACCTATCCGCATTCTTTAAATCTAGAGTTTATAGTTAAAGGACTAGTTGCTAATAATGTGAAGAAATGTTCATGAAAATCAAGTATTATCGCCAATGGAGGAAGAACAAAAGAAGCGACATCCAAAATGCTTTCACTCCCAAAGTTGATATAAGAGAAGTTTAAGTAATGTTTTTCTGTTAGTACAATTATCTCCCTGATAATTTATTGATTTTTTTTACATGAAGCTTCAACACACACGAAACGTTTCATGTGAGAATGAAAACGAGGCCAAGAATATAATTGTAGAAAATAAACTATCATCCTGACTATAATTAGAACTGTGACCTCACTTATATTTTTTTTCCGATAATGTTTATACGTATTTCTAATAACATTGTATTGTTACAAAAAGATTAGAGTTTGACATTCATTTATTTGATTTTGCTTCTAATTGCAAATAGACCTACTCTTACTCGGCCTACTAAAAGGAAAATCATATAATTATCAATGCACAATTATCTTTATAATTGATGATAATCAACAAGAGTCATGGAGATAATATCTAAAAATTGGTGAAATTGGCTGGATCGGTTGAAAATTTTGAAATTCTCTCTGGAATGGTTGGATCGGGTGAACGTAAAAATTATATTTCAAATGCATTTTATTAATAAAATTAGGGAAAAGGTACATGAAAAATTAGGTAAAATGATGTTCTACAGTCAGGGATGGATTTAGGGGGGGGGGGGGGGGGGGGCGGGGGGGGCGACCGCCCCCCTTGGACATTCAATTTTTTTTTACCATATATGTAATATTTTCATAAAACTTTCATAATTTAATTAGATTCGCCCCCCTTAGCTTTTAATTTTCAAAATTAATATATATAGTTTTACATAATGTGATACTTAATTGGAGATTTAAAAGAAGAAACATCTAAAATAATTTACATAACTTAAACAAATAAACAATAGAGTAACTCGTTACTTAAGATTTAGGATACTTATTATATAAGAATTCCTAGTTTTGTAATGTTTAATTATCTTTATTAGATAACAAGTACTGGATTTCGTAAAACATATATCAAACAATATTAAATACCAGACACACTAATTACACAATTTTTAGATCACGTGAAATGAATACAAAATATAAATATTTATAGACATTAGATTACATAATTCATTTACTTCATGCTTTCTAAAAATAATTTATTGCATGGATAATAAACTCTAAATTATTATAGAATTAATAAAAATATTAAAATATAATATGCACCATATATATGTGTGTGTGTGTATGTGGTGCATATTATTCTAAAAATTACAATCTCATACATATTAGTATACTACTATTGTAATATTAAGAAAACTTCTCATGAGTCATGACTCACGAGCACCCTCCTTGGTGGACAAAAATTACAATTCAATAACCGATTCATGAGGTTAAACAATGTAGAAGTTATTTTAAATGTATTGGTTGATGTCTTTGTCATCGCCTAAACTTAGAATGTAATAGATTTAAATGTCGTTCAGGATGTGCATGAATTAATATCATTTTTTGAATAAAAATAGCCGCACAACCCTACAATAGCGAAAAAAGTTCGCCCCGCTATACTAGGGAAAAAAATTTCACCCCGCTACACTAACAAAAAAAATTCACCCCCTACACTAACGAAAAATTTCGCCCCCCCTTGACTCAGAATCCTGGATCCGTCCCTGTCTACAGTAACTTCAGTCACTAAAGTAACTTCAACATTAGCTATTTTAATGACTATTCATTCCGACACGCGAAATAAAATACTATGTGTTTGATAATAAAAGTTGACCGATAAACAAGATTTCCTTGAGGTAGGGGGATTCATAAAAATCTTAAATAATCCAAGGTCTATGATTTTTAGATGTTTAATACGTAGTAAAACAAAATGAAGGAATGACAAAATATTTACGGATTACAGAGCTTGGATTATTTAAGATTTGGGAAAGTCCCCGAAATAGGACAAAAACAGTTTGAAAATTCCAAAATAGGTCTGTCATGTTTTTTTATTCTCAAAATAGGAGTAATTACTGCCAAAAGAATAGGTTCAATGCTCATCAAAGTTGATTCAATATTCATTTAAGAGAATCCGCATTTTCACCAAAATTACAAATTTGCCACCGGCTGTACGGCTGGTATCGTACAGCCGGCTGCACTATATATGCTTTCGATGTACGCAAGGTTACAATGGGGACTGGGATTCGAAACCCCTTAGGAGCATCATTTTTCTGGTAAACTTTGTGGGCCGCGGGGTTTTGGATCGGGTGAATGGAAAAATTATATTTAAAATGCATTTTATTAACAAAATTAGTGAAAAGTTACATGAAAAATTAGGTAAAATGGTGCTCTACAGTAACTTTAGTCACTAAAGTAACTTCAACATTAGCTATTTTAATGACTATTCATTCCAACACGCGAAATAAAATACTACGTGTTTGATAATTAAAGTTGACCGATAAGCTGAAAACGCGTGCCTTACTAAACAAGATTTCCTGACTTGAGGTAGGGGGAATTTATAAAAATCTTAAATAATCAAAGCTCTATAATTTTTAGGATGTTTTTATTTGGATTGTAATTTGCAAGTTTGGTCTGGTCTGGGACAAATTACCGTCCAAGTAAAAACATCCTAGAGATGGATTATTTAAGATTGTTATAAATCCCCTACCTCGAAATCTTGTTTAGTAACTACAGTATCTCTTTGACTCTTCGTATGTTTAATAAAATAGAATGAAGGAAGACAAGATATTTACGGATTATATTTCCACAAGAGTATTAGTGGTGCCGGTATTTTATCCTTTCAGCCTTCCTCCTCAGTTCAGTCAGACATCGTTACGGTGGAGTATTATGTATGCATGGTTGTTGGGCGGGTGAAGCAAGAGGAGCTGAACAGCCCTGGTTCCGATGGACAAACGCAAAAGGAAATCCGGCGGCGGCTTATCCTAGCGGCGTCGGGCTTGGTGAAGGCGCTGAGCTGTTGGTGAAGGAAGCCAAGGCAGAGAAATGGAGATTCACTAATCAAAATCAGTTCCCACACCGACCAAGCCAGAGAAGGAAGAAGAGAAACGTAAGCATTCCATTCACTAATTAAAATCTGTTCCCACACCGACGCCGGAAGGCTGAGTGACTCCTGACTGGGTCTATAAATAAACAGGTACAGTTGCAGACATACTCGCCCTTTGGGACTGACCAAGTCCCGCTGGGTTGGGCTGGCCACCCTTTGGGGCCGGCCCCGGCTCCCTCTTTGGGCGCCATTAGGCTTAGGTTAGGTAGGTAGTTAGGGCTAGGCTTAGGTTAGTTTAGGCTTAGGCTTAGTTTAGGCTAGCTTAGGTTTAGCTTTAGGTTAGGCTTAGGGCGGTGGGGGCGTTATGCTGCCTCCATGCCGTCCTGGGCAGCCCGGGGTGGCGTTATGCTGCCTTGGTGGCGCCGCGTGGCGCCAAACCCCCCGTGGGGGGGGTAGGGGGGGGGGGTAGGAGCAGCATAGGGGGGGAGTCGAGGGGGGAAAGAAGGGTGGAATCGGGGAAGAAAGGGGAAACGGGAAAGAGAAGAAAAGGAAACTAGGAACAGGAAAGGAATATTATATAATATAATCAATAATAATATACTAGTCAATATCAATAATAATAATATACTAGGATAATAATAATAACTAATAGAGACTATCTTTTATTTTCCTTCTCTCTATTCTCTTCCTACGGCATATTCCAAATAGAGACTCTGGACTGGTAGGCTGGAAGGAAACAACACATATTCACTTGCCTTTGCATCACCCAGGATCCATCACAGGTCTGCATACATCAAGTAGCACTTTGCCAATCCCAACTTACTGATGTATTGTGATTTTTTTACACCAACTTACTGATGCCAATCCCAACATTCACTCATGTCACATGAGTGATTGTTATGACACCCATCCAGTATAATTGAACTTCTCCAAGTTCAATTTCTCTGCATTTCTTTCTTGGTTTATTTAATTTCTGCTTTTAAACAACTGCTATGTCGAGAATTAGGAAGCAAGTGGTTTATTTATTTCCAAGCTCAACGAAAATGTGTTGAGCTCACAAATCTTTCAACAAAAAGAGATAATTAGGAAGTGTGACTCGGGAAATAAGTATTATATTCTTTATGAACGTAAATGCTAGCAAGTTATTATATTATTCGTGAATGCGCCTCAGTTCTTTTCCATAAGCATTGCACATACTACTAGGGAAACACAAAGTTATAATATCTTCTCGCTTCCCTTTCCAAACAGGAAAAGGAAAAAAAGAGTGATATTTTATGAACTTTCTCCCACATCTAATCTGTGTGGCTGACCTGTAAGCATTTACCATGCTGGGGTGTTTAGGTTGTGATGCTGGAACAAATATTATGATCAGCAATTCCAGATACGTTCTAGGATGATAGAACACGGGTATTGAAAGAATCAGAACAATAGAAATTCAACACAATCTCATTCAAGAATGATGAAAGATGCAGTTTATTGAACAAGAATTCAGAATAGGAATACAAGCTGTAGACAGTTCGAGATGCCTAATCTCCCAGTCCAGTCCCAACTAACAAAACAGCCTATCCAACTTTGGCTATCACCTTCTATTTATACTCAAAGTCCACGCAGGGATAAGGCTAAACCAACTAACAGAAAGTCAAACTAACTAACTGCTATATTCTTTCTCCTTTGATACACCTTTTTAAAGTATTTATTGGGCTGCTTCTCCTCGTGTCTATCAATACTCCCCCCCTGAAATTTCACCTTGTCCTCAAGGTGAAGTTCTGGGAAACATCTCTTCAATTCCTGCACAGGCTCCCAAGAGTTCTCAAATTCTGGTAATTCTTTCCAGCGTATCAATGCTTCAGCTTGCCCTTCCTTGTTTATTCTAGCATCCAACACCTTTTCAGGTGTTACTTGTAACTCCAGATCTTCCTTCAAGCATTTTGGTAATGGTTGAAAAAATGTTGTAGGGGCTATCACTTTCTTTAATAATGAGATATGGAAAACAGGATATATCCTACTTTCCTCTGGCAACTCCAGTCTGAATGCTACTTCACTGATCTTCTCCTTTACTTGAAAAGGGCCATAAAACCTGGGACTTAGTTTTTGATTCAGCCTCTTAGCTAAACTTCTTAACTTGTAGGGCTGAATTTTCAGATATACTGAATCTCCTACTTCAATCTGTACTTCTCTTCTATGTTTGTTGGCCTGTTGTTTCATTTGATTCTGGGCTCTGGCAAGATTCTCCTTCAATTCATCCAACATACTGTTTCTTTGTGCTGTAAGCCTGGATACCTCGTCTACTGTAGTTAGGTTAACATCACCTCTAATTACTGCAGGAGGTTCTTGTCCAAATAGGGCCTGATAAGGTGTTTGTTTTAGGGAAGCATGGAAGTTTGTGTTATACCAGAACTCTGCCCAGTGTAGCCATTGACTCCATTGTTTTGGTTTGTTGCCAGATAGACATCTGAGGTATGTTTCTAGGCATCTATTGACCACTTCAGACTGACCATCAGTCTGGGGTGATATGCTGTGCTGTATTTAAGTTGTGTGCCTGCCAATTTAAAAATTTCAGACCAAAATGAGCTCATAAAGATGCTGTCCCTGTCACTGACTATGGTTTTAGGAAACCCATGAGTTTTGACCACCTCCTTGGTAAAAACTTCTGCCACTTCCTTAGCATTAAAAGGGTGAGATAATGCTATGAAGTGAGCATATTTAGTCAGTCTGTCAACCACTACTAAGATAGTGTCTTTTCCATTAGATTTTGGCAGACCACCAATAAAATCCATAGTAATATCTGTCCATATACTGTTGGGAATTGGTAAGGGTTGTAACAGTCCAGAAGGTTTCAAGGCCTGGTACTTGTTTGTCTGACAAACTGCACATTCTTCTACAAATTTTTTGATATCTTTTCTCATCCCTTGCCAGTAGAACAAATTAGATATCCTTTTCATTGTTCTAAAGTATCCTGAATGACCTCCTATTGATGAATCATGATACTCTTGCATTACCTTCAGAATTCTGGGTGAACCTTGAGGTAACATCAGCTTCTTTTTATAGTATAACAACCCTTTTGTGATCTGGAAGTCTTTGTGTTGATCTGGAAATGAAATTACTTTCTGTATCAAAGCCTGACATTTGGGGTCTTTGCTCAATTCTTCTTCTAAACCATCCCATTCTTGACAATTTACAATAGATAAGGATAGCAAAGTAGGCCTCCTAGATAATGCATCTGCCACTCTGTTCTCAACTCCCGGTTTATACTTTATGATGAAATTATAACCCAGGAGTTTAGAAGTCCACTTTTGCTGTTCTTCTCCCATCACTCTTTGATCAGAAAGGAATTTGAGACTCTTTTGGTCAGTATGAATCTCAAATTTTCTGCCTAGAAGATAAGGCCTCCATTTCTGAACTGCCAACACAATAGCCATTAATTCTCTTTCATAAACTGACTTGTTTTGGTTTCTTTTGGATAGTTCTTTACTCATGAACGCGACTGGTCTTCCCTCTTGCATTAGGACTGCCCCCAGGCCTGTCCCAGATGCATCTGTTTCAAGTATGAAAGGTTTATTGAAGTCAGGAATTGCCAAGACTGGTAGAGAAGTCATAGCTCTTTTCAGTTCCTCAAAAGTTTCAGTAGCCTTTGCATCCCATTTAAAACTGTCCTTCTTGAGAAGCTGAGTGAGAGGTAATGCTATTCTGCTGTATCCCCTTACAAATCTTCTATAATAACCTGTTAATCCCAAAAAACCTCTCAACTCCTTCAGATTTTTGGGTATTGGCCAACTTAACATTGCTTCAATTTTGGAGGGATCTGCAGAAACTCCTTTCCCTGAAATAATATGTCCCAGATATACCAATTGAGGTTGTCCAAATGAGCATTTTTTGAGATTTACCACCAGCTGGTTATCCCCTAAGGCAGATAACACTGCCCTTAAATGTTCAATATGGTCCTCATTGGATTTACTGTAGACCAAAATATCATCAAAAAAGACTAATGCAAACTTTCTCAAAAATAACCTTAGGACCTGGTTCATCAATGCTTGAAATGTAGATGGAGCATTAGTTAAACCAAAGGGCATCACCAAATATTCATAATGCCCTTCGTGTGTTCTAAAAGCAGTCTTTTTTCTGTCTTCTTCTTTCATTCTAATCGGGTGGTACCCAGATTTCAGATCGAGCTTAGAGAAAACCTTGGCATCACCCAGTTCATCTAATAGTTCTTCAATTATAGGGATGGGAAATTTATCAGGGACTGTTATTTTGTTTAAAGCTCTGTAATCACCACAGAATCTCCAACCTCCATCTTTCTTTTTAGCTAGGAGTATAGGGCTGCTGTATGGGCTGGTGCTATGCTGAATTATCCCAGATTGCATCATCTCTTGCACAATCTTCTCTATTTCATTCTTTTGGCACTGGGGATATCTGTAGGGTCTAATATTAGGTATTTTAGCACCCTCTTGAATGTTAATAGAATGGTCACAATCTCTTATAGGAGGTAATCCCTTCAAAGGTTTTGTGACTTCTGGGAATTCTGCTACAATCTGCTCCCAGATGGATTCCAATTCACATTCCTTCTTTTCATTAGTTGCCTCCCCATTACAATATACAAAATAACCATCTCCATTATCATGTATAATTTGTGATAAAGTCTTCAATGATACTTCCATTGAGTTTAATTTTGGATCCCCTCGAATTGCTTTTTCCATTCCCATTTGTCTCCATCTGATAGTCTGCTTCTGGAAATTTATCTCCACATCCCCTAGGCTAGTTAACCAGTCCATTCCTAATACCACATCAGTTCCTCCCAAACTGAGTATATAGAAATTCTGTGTGATATCAGTGTCTTGCAAATTCAGAACCAATTCATCACACCTTCCATTATTTCTTATCTTTTCACCATTCCCAATCTGTACTTGGTATCCAGATATTGTTTTGAAAGGTAAGTCTAGCTGTTCTACCAATTTCTGGGAGATGAAATTATGTGTGGCTCCACTATCAATCAGCACTTCTACTTGCTTATTTCCTTTCTTCCACTTCAGGTTTCCCTTCACTTTAAATGCTCTCATAGTTGG